GTAGGTAAGTTTTTAAACTAAGAACTGACAAGTACCTCGCTGAGGAGAAAGATAAAATCTAAAATGGGAAGGTATTTTCAAAGTTTCATACCCTTAGAATGCATTTCACAACAAAGGTTATTTCCAAATTAAAAGTCTCTCCCTGTCAAATTCTGAGAAGTAATGTGGGCAAGGACACAAAAGCATTCCATAGCTTTATTAACGACAATGCTCACTGATCTGTGAATAACCTGGAAAAAAATGAAGATTATTGAGTTACTTTACCAATCTATCCATCCATCACTAGCGAACAGGTCTCAGAATGATGGATTATCTCACTTCCCTGATGTTTATCCCAAGAAAGAGTTTCTCCTTAGAGGGAAAAACAAACAACTGATCCTACAAACAATGATGCTAACTGCCCTTGCCCATTTTGCATTCATGTGCCAACAAAGTGAGGAGAAATATATTAAGTTTGTTTTTAAAAGCCAAACTACATCAAAAGTTTTATTATTTGGCTGAAATGCAAGTGAAAACAATTCAGAAGAAAGCAGGATTGCAGCTACTCGCACTATTCAGTATTTTAGTAAAAACCAAGTAATACTGACAAGTCGTCAGTAGTTTCAAAATAAATTTTCAGGTCCAAAGAAATGGAATAATCTTAAGTGATAAGAGATCTATAAATATGAAAATTATGTATTTTGAAATGTAAGACTGAACTCTCAGATATAGCCTATGTTTTTTTAAATCACTTCTGATTCTTTCGCACTTGCACAGAATTGCACACGTCATATCTGATCGTCACAAGGAATTAACACTGAATCTCTCATTAACATGCCAAATCATACAATTAACATACAGAAAAGTTAAGCATATTGCTTCCACGTAGAGACATGATACTCATGCATAGATTCAAATGAAAAAGATGTTGCACCAAATTTTTAAAATATCGACTCTAAGTGCTTATTACAGTCAGGTCTCCTAAAGTCCAGTCTTGATTTCAGAATACTAAAACCTTCCTAGAAATTAACAGGGAATAATTGGAAACGTTAAAGTACCCGAGACTACCTCAGAAGCTTCGACATTTATAGCAGATAATAGCTCAAATGTAAGGGTAAAAACTGATTATGCGTTTTTGAAATATATACAGAAACCTTCCAAATCAATCACACTATCCATCATATCTCAGCCTGGACTCTTAATCTTCTTGTAAATATAGGGATTGAAAGAGATGAACCATCTTAATCAAATCTTTCCTCCATCACAAAATTACTACTGTCAGTGGCACTGACACAAAAATGACTAAGTTCAGCCAGAATCTATAACAACTACTAAAAAAAAGGTTACATTGTCCACCAAATACATACATGACATGAAAGTTGAAAGCCTATTTATAGGAAATGCAAGTCATTACCTGACTACCCATAAAAGTCAGTGAATCACTAATTACTGTGACAAAGCAGCCGAAGATGTTCTACCACCTCAGCACCTACTACCATGACCATATCTGTCAATTCTTGGATGATTCTTTGCTAACAGAAAGAAGACACGATGTGTCATCCCCTGGAACCTCTATGAGATGACAGGTGGTGAGGAAAAAAACCACACTACTACTACTACTCAAAAAGTCTTGTTTCCATTTGGATGCTCCTATTTGCAAGAGTCCAGAAAAAAGAATCTGAAACAGAACTGAAACTACACACAGTCTCTCCCAAAATTCAGAGTGTTCACAAAGAAATCACTGAGAAAAATCAACAGAAGTGAGGCCACAACCTACAACTGACTTCTCAGCTGTCATTTAGTAAACACTGCTAGTGGGTGAAGAGAATCACAACTGAAAGACTTCCTCTCAAAGGAAAACTGAAAATAACAGGCATATTTCACTGAAGTGAACTGTGAGAGTGAGCTATATGAAACAATATTTGTAAATCAGCACTTCCAAACACTCCTCAAAGCCGTAAAAACCTTCAAAAGTTTTTGCTTCTGAAAAAGTGGAAGGAAAGCAAAGGAGTTTCAAGTTGCAAAAGAGGGATTTTATACAACATGCAAAAGCAAGTACCTCCTCATACTTGACAACTATTTCCGATTTTTAGGTCGAATTTCTTCCCCCCCCGCCACTTACAAAGGAAAATCTGGAAGCTGACAATTTTAACATCAACGTCCTACATCAGAAAATATTTGGGGTATTTCCTAATGATTTTTAAAAATAGAAAACAAAGTCAAAATCACACTAAATATTCTAAATGTTGTATCACTAAGACTTTACAGTTTACAATGATGCCCAATTACAGTTTTTCTTTAGTGACATTTTTTCAGGAAAATGAAAGCTGTATTACAGATTTGCAATGAACATGTTAACAGCAAACTGCAAAGCATATATTGATTTCCCTACCTACCTTACATATTGAAGTTTTAGCGTCTTATGTTTACTATACCAAATGTAAAGCCTTTGCTTTGATTTGCCTCAAGAATGAGGTATCGGTACATTTATTTTTACTAAGCACAATACTACTAGTACTTCATTGGAAAGGAGAGACATAATGGTTTCATACTAAGAAGTTTGAACCAAAGGAAGCTGTTATACAGGCCAGTAAAGTTTTGCTGCTTGTCAGCTCAGAATAGCATGAGGCTTCCAATGACCTTCCTTGTACCACGACTCCAATTTATGGAGATAGAATTCTCACATCTGTACCTCGACATATTGGGAGGTACATTACAGTGATATAAAAGTTTAATTTTCTCTCCTAAACCATACCTGTTTAAACCAATAAAGAACTAACACCGCTTTTACTCACTCAAGTGTTGTCAGTAGTTATAAAACGTACTGTTTATGCAGAATTCATTTAGAATGCAAGGATGTGACTTACAAATGTCTTTGACTCATTCACATAAATATGCATGCATGCCATTTATAACAGTAGCCTTGATGAGAACACATAGTGTAACTGGCTGCAAGAAACGCTTAAGAGGTTTACATTAAAACAGAATATAGAACGGTGGTTAGAAATCACAGAACAGGTGACACCTTAATCTGATAACCTGGTGATAAAAACTGTAGGGTATGATGTATAGGTTGGGGCATTACCACTTCACTATACAGTCTGAACAGTATTCTTCGGATACTGCTCAGTTTTCGCAAGACATAATACCCAAGACAGACCACACATAAAAATTGCGATTAATCTCCAAAAAAATTGTGATTGCCTCCTAAATTGTTCACTTAAAAACAAAGACATTTAGACTTTAATTTGTATTAGGAATGTTTGTATTACAAACACTCTAAAGTATAATTACTTCTTGGTTTGACAGAGCAATTTGCTTCGATATTAAAATATTGTCCTTATTGTAAGACAATTTAGCAAAAACCCCTAAAATGCAGTAATCGATGGACATAAATAGAAAGTTCAGGCCATCTGAAGAATTCCTGTGATCACAGAATAATTTTCTGATACGAATATTTGTAAGACTTCTAGACGCCACTATTGCTAACTCTTGAAATACACTGATGTTACAGATCAAAAAATTACTTTGTTAATAGCCAGCACGTCCAAAGCCAAAGGGCTTTCAAGAATGCAAGAAAAAATACACTGAGAACCTATAGTGGAAAAAATGTAACTAAAATTCTAATTTCAATTTTAATTATTAAATTTACTTTTTTTTTTCCAAGTATTTGAAGCAAAAGGAGGTCTAACTGCAGAACTTGTGTTACTATGATGGCTCTGACAATATTGTCCACCAAAGAACAGACTGAGAAGAACAAAGCTGAGACTTTGCACCGATATTTAAATGAATGATATACAAATATATCACTCAGACAACAAAACGGCCTCACCATGCAATACTGCTTTTTTTAAAATACAGCTATTGTTTACTTCAGACCTTCAGGTTACCACATTAAAAACCCACTTAGAGCAGATGGAAAGGCTGTTTGCCAGCAAAAGAAAAGATTAAGAAAAACTCCCTCAGCCTTTTAAAAGCTAGTTGAACTGTTGGAAACAACTGAAAATTAAAACCGCCTACCCTTTGCACATGTATTCTTGATGGTCCCCAAAAGCAGCCATCAACAACTCCTCTGCTAGAACGAGGATCCCTAGCACACCTCAGGAGTCACGCTAAAGACTACGTTATTGCCACGGTTCAAGTAAAGAGGTTGAAGTGGATGTTGTTTTATCGCGGAATCAATAGACGTTTTTTGTTTTAATTACTTTCTAGGGCTCAAGTAGTGGTGAACACATGGCTGCTGTTTAAGATGTTAAGAAATGTAACACTGCAGTCTGTATACGGCTCACTGTAACAGGGTTTCATGGTATCTTTTCTGCTGTTCAAGTCATAGGTGGAAGCTTGTGGTCTATACAGATCTACAAAATGATGCCAAATGAATAAGGATATGATTTCACATCAGCTGCACTGTTTGCGTAAGCCTGTGATGTAATAAAGTTGAAAGACTTACATAATTTTTTAATTTAATAATATACTGGACACGTGGCACAATTTTGCTTCTTTAAGAAAAATTCAGTTCATTATTAGATATCTACCTATGAACGGCAAATGCACTCTCAGCATTAATTGGTAACACACATGGAAATCACATCTCTTCCTGTAACTTCAGGAAGAGTAAACCACAAATTTTCTCAACCTACCAAAATGCACGGTCATCCTTTTGGACAGACATCACTCCAAGTCTCCTCCGTCAGTTTTAAAAAGGGATAGTTATGTATGAGTTAAATTATCTCTTTCTCATTTCTTAGCATTTATTACCATAAGTAGCCACCACAACAGCCAGCTATTACAAGTTGCGTTTGTAAGACAACAAAAATTGTTTCGCAGTATCAGAGTAGCATAATTTCCAACTTTTTTTTTTTTTTGGTGGTGGTGGGAATTTCACAGCTAATGAAAATTTAAAGCAAATAAAGTCAACATGAAATTGTTAACAGAATGATTCCTATTAAGTGACACCTATTAGCATTACGTTACCAAGGATTTCCTTTTTGGAAGATTCATATTAGAAAAGTGAAGCCTACCTGCAGAAGCACTGCGGAATCTCTCCTTGACCATACAGAGGAAACAAAAATGGTGTATTGCCATAGCGGCCAAGGCACTGAAGAAATTTTTTTGTTGCCTGAAGACCTTCAAGAGTGCTGCAATCAGTCTCTGAAACCATTGCAATAGAGTGAAGAATGAAGTGCTGCAAGCTGGGTGTCAGCTTCTGTGTTCTTAAGAACCGAGCAAATGTACTGCTCTCATAGTCTGAGGAAAAAGTAAATTTAGGTAAAGTGTATAGTATAACATTTGTATTTTCTCATATTCTTCAACTCAAACAACTACTTTTGTATTTAAATAATCAAAAGCAATTGAGTTTTTCAACAAACACCTTGCTGGAAATGGATAATCCAAGTCAATGAAAGTTAAAAAATTTACTCCCAGAAAGTGAGTTTTCTAAAACGACAGAAATATCATGCCACTAAAATATTTCACAAATAATGCAAACCCATTGACTGCTGGTCTCCAGCAGTCTAGAAAGCAGTATCTAAAGATGGTTTCATCTATTCTTTATGTCAGACTTGATCTAAACCCATTTCCCAATCACGTGAGAAAAGTGAGCAACTGCAGACAAAAATCCACTGAAGTGCATTGGGATGCTGTTTCCTGTAAATTATCCAAAATACTATACCTGAAGGACAGCCATTCAAGAATAGTACTGCTGAATCCATGCTGATACGGTTAGAGGGTATATTTATGTGCAGAGAAGCCATTCATACAGTGTCTTAATCCGAAGATGAGAAGGCGCAGTATTTATTTCAAGTTGATAACTTGCTCACAACAAACAAGTATGGATGAGACCCAAAGACGCCAGGGATGAGGAAGCCTATCTCCCCTTTCCGTTAATACCACTACTCACACATTTTGAAATTCAAAGAAACACCAGTCTTTCAGGAGATGTTTAATGCAAGTGTTGCATGTCACTGATAGACCTCTGAAAAACTTTAGCTATCTTAATAACTAAATGAAGTTTTTTTCCAGGAAAAGACTGTATTTGAGCAATAGCATACTTTCACACTATGCAGAAATCTGCTCTTAAGCTTATTTGAGTCATGGATAAATTCACAGGTAATTCAGAAACACTTCCATCAATGCTGAGGCTAGTAGTATCAAGCTATATAGTCTGTTCAAGATTCAACCACTGTTTTATTACAAATGTATTCTGCTACCCTTTGTACAGCCATGCAGCAAGTCATAAACTGACAAGGGTTTTATTGTTTTATCGTTCTAAAAAAATTCTCAAGATTTTCTTTACTTCAGACTTCTTACGTAACTCCAAATTTTAGAGAAAAAAGCTTTAAAAAAAAATTCTTCACTATCATGAACTCTCCCTATTAAAAGTCTGCCTTTCCTCAAAGAATCTCCCCAAGAGTAATTTTAAATTTCTGAAGTCTTTAGATCAGACTAATCTGACTCAAAATATTCACAATTACTTCCCATGCTGTTGTAAAACTTAGGAGCAAAATATGGTTATCTCTGGAAGTAAAGTAAATCTAGAGTCATTTATGTACATGAATCAATGGATTAATTTAAAATTGATGTGGTGTCTCCTTTTTTTACTTAGTAAATTTGCTAAATATCACCTATACTCTTATTCTGAGCACCTCTGTTTCTTCAAGCAGCAGCAAACCTGAAATTACCTGTAATCTTTAAATCCTGAACGGGGAAAAACTCATTAGGCTGGAGTTCATTACAGAGCCTCTTCTAATCTTACCAGATCATTTTCACTATTGACCAATTTTCTTTCGCATGTTTAAACTAATTTTCTCTAATGTTTGTACCTAATCTAAGGGTCTTGTTCAAGTAATCAAACCAGTATCTTAACCAGTTTCTTTTTAACACTAGATTCTTTCAAAAATACTGCCTAGTCAAGCTACTGTCAAGCTACAAAAGCGCTGATATGCTTCAGTCTGAAACTTAATGACAATAGTTTAACCATTCCTCTTTCCTCATTCTTTCTTTTTTGACAGATTGTTCTTTTATTGCCTTAGTTCACTCTTAGACTTCAAGAACTGAGAACATCACTTCATTCTTTGTACCCTAAGGTGCATAAACCCAAAGCACCTTCCTTCTGTTAGGCAATGTTCCTCTTTGACCTGATACTCATTATTCTTTGTACACTGTGGCTCCACCAATCCATTCTGATATTCTCTCGTCTAAATAAGCCAACAGTTGATAAAGGCACTTTGAATTTGCCCTCTATAACTAAAAGGCATTAAATTACATTTGATTTCAAAAGGTTAAATATTCCATTTTCTCCATTTCTGATTTTCTGGCAACATATTGTAAAGATTTACATATTCGGAAAAGAAAAATCAGATACATCACATTATATTTAAAAATCCTGAAGAGAGGGTGAGGAAACACCTAAAAATGATTAAAAAAATTTGCAACCTTGCTGTAATATGTAATTCTGCTGTTAAAGAAAAATGTAAATAATAAGTGATGTGGGAACTAGAAGAGCATAGTGCTTAAGTAGAAGAATTTAACATTGAAAAGGTCACAAAAAGGTCAAAGCATACTTTGAAAATGAATCCATAAATTCTGTGAAAACACAGGAGAGCTATCAAAATTGTGCATAACTGAATGAATTCATGAGAAAAGAGTGTACACTGCTCAATGAAACACTACCTTGGTATTCATCAGGGTGTTGTTCATAGTCCAAACAAAATGTCAAAAATTTCATTAGCATTCTCTTTTCCACCATAGTGAGCTGTTTGCTGTTGAAGACATCTGCTCTAGAACAAGGTACCTGGAAAAATATTTTTTAAGAATTTCAGATACATCAAGCAACACTATAGTCTTGAATTACCTAGCAAATATTTTAAATTACTATTTGCTCTTTTTGTTCTTTTCTTATATATTTATTTCCATTATAACTGTAATAAGTCATCAATTTTCCACAATGAAAACATTTTAAAATCTTTTTCAGGCTCCTCCCCTTTTTATTTCCTTTCAATTTCACTTGCATCTCTGACTGCAGAGTTAATCAAAAGTTTGTATTAATTAACTGTGCCAAAAATCTCCTGTTGCCATTATCAGGCCAATGACTTCTAAGTAGCAGAGACACAAATCAAGTCTATGATCAGAATTTGAAAACCTAAAACCTGTGAATCTATGAAATAACTGCCAAGTCAATCATGGTCTAAATATCTGACACGAGGCAAAGACTTGTGTCAATTTACTGGACTGCACATTCTTATTTTGGCCTTTTTAAAATAAAATATTTACGTATAACACATACAAACTCCTCTTCATTCCAGAAATGAAATAAAAACCAGAATCTTACGGAAAAAATACTAGCTTATATTACAATACTCTCAAGAAAGCAGCTTCAAGTCTCCTGACTTTAAAAAGATGAGACTAAGCATATGTAATACATTATTTTATGATACCTGTTCAACTTTTCCTTCTCGAAAGGCAAGAATTCGTGTTGCATTTTTAAACTCTGCATATCTGCTAACATTCGACTTAATCAGAAGGTCAATTAACAGACCTCGGGAGTAAAGCAACTGCATAGTGGGAAAAAAAAAAAGAAAATGGTGAGCAAAGAGAAAGTGCTTACACCAAAAGAAAACAGTGATACCAACAGTATTCATTCGTAAGGTGTTTTCTGTACCTATTTACCAGTATGAACAGTGAAGTCAAACCTGAATAAAAGAATATCAAGTTGTAGTATGTGCAAAATAATATCAAATTAACTGAAGCGACCATGCAAACAGAGGAGACAAAGTAGTCCACAGGAGAGAAAGGGAGAAGCTGTCAGCCTACTGCTCATTTAGTTTTACTAGTCTGGGAGTCATAGCTTAAGACAATTTTTTGTATTGTCATCTTGGATAATTTCTTTCTATTGTACGCTATATATCCTTGAACACCGTATTTTACAACCTTCATTTCCTAGTATCAGTATCATTCCTAGTACATGACACTGTGTAAATCATCCCTAGTTGTTTTTTAAATTACGTGAAACAATAATGTCCCATTTTCTAAATGTAAATTCCTTAAACTCGCAGTTAAAGTTTAGTCATATTCTGTTATATTAATTTATAATCTGTCTACCTTTACTCCTTCTATAAGCTAGAAATATATTATGAAATACTGAAGGGATGGAAGTGTAACTATTAACAGAAGACGTTATGTCTGAACTGAAAAGCATTGGAAATTAGCTTAAACGTGCTTTGAGTCTTGTGGCCCTGAGTAACAGAATTTGCATGATCACACAGGAATTCTCAAGAGAAAGGTTTACTGGAACACTAACTAGAACACTACAAAAAGTCTGTGTCCCACTGCCAGAGAGAAACCAATGCAAATTACTAGTGATGACTACTCTTCTGCAGAATTTCTGGAATTCATTGCAATTAACACCATGTAACACAATGGCACAGAAAAAGTATAAAAAGGATCTAAAATAGCATTATCTGCTTAACCACTATACTCTGACATGATGTCGTTCCAATGATGCATGAAAAACGTATCTACATTTGGAATACAGATAAAATTTGAGGTTTGAAAAATCTTTTCATGCAGAATATGAAAAAACGTCCCATTGCAGAGTACGCATACAGTCTAAAACCACAGAAGTTAAGAAAAAATTGTATTTAACTTCAATTTGCAGGGCCATATCTATATCCTGTGAAGTACATAAAAGCTAGATTTTAAACAGTGTGACAAATATGTAAGACTAATAGTTTTTCCTCTAAGTAAAATGCACATTAGTAGGAATTCAACATAATGATAACTAATTTTAGTCACCTTGTAAGTTATGAATTAATTTAACTATTTTTTCTTTCCAATAAAATTTATTACAATTCAGTGCTTTAGTCACCAGAGAACCAAAACCAGTATAGAGACAATGAGTTTCACAGTAAAATCTAAAACCCAGGAAGCACTCAAACAGGAAAATTATTTTTCATTATAAAAACAGCAAAGATGTGCATGTAGATTGATCTTCCTTGTTTAAAAATACACATTTTTTTAATGTTACTATTTAAAAAAAAGAAATTTTGCAGACATTATTTAAGTGCTGAATTTCAGGAAATTTAATTTTTTGGACATATTTCTGAGCTACGCTTGATGGTCTCTTTGGTTATAAACAAACACTAAGAGCACATATGAAACAGCTCCTGTTTAAGGGTACTAGTTCTTGCTTGCTTCTCAAGAGTGTCTTTTACTCCTCAAAAACATTGTGTCACTCCTCCTCAACATTTTTAGATTTTTTAAAAATGTCTGCATTTTAAGCAAAGGAAATGTACTTATATGGAAAGAGTCATTCAGCTCCTACCTTGGAAACTAAATCAATATTAAACCTTCTGCCTTCTCTAACAATTTGGGAATACGTAATTTTCTTTGGTTCTTGGGCAGAAATTTCTGAAGGTGCAGCTTCAGTTTTTCCCAATTCCAGGGTGGACTCGCCTAAAGCCATACTGTAAGAACTTTCATTCTCAGAGGTTATTTCTGTATCCTTCCCTTCCACTACAGTTGCTGGCTCAGCGCCTGTAGCCTTTGCTGGTTCCCGGCTCTCCGCCTCCAGTAAGGCACTCTCCGATGGTGGGCACTCTTTTTCCGATTCTTGAGCAGCCTCCTCAGCACCAGAAGCTCCAAAGACAGGCAGCTTTGGCAATGCACCAGCTTCTTCAACATCTTCAGCTGAATCCTGACTGATTAAAAACACAAGGGGAAGAAGGGGGGAAAAAAAAAATAAGAGTCTTAAAAACTTGTTTAAAGTTTTGAGTTGGTGCCCAAATTGAAACCTCAAGCATTTCTATGAAAAGCATTAGCATTTCTTTATCCTGGCCAAATCAGGTGTATCACCCACTAAAGAATTCTGGTTCTTTGATTACAAAGCTGTAATTCAAGAGAAGCATTTTTACTTGGGGGGGGGGCGGGGAAAAACCACAACCCAACCAAAAATTGGGGTTCTTATCTTAAATGGACTCAAAAGATGGAGTTAGCTTAAAATGAAAATCAGAACTCTCAAGGTGATGCACAACAAACAGCCATATAAACAAAATAAATACAGTATTTTAAAGAAGAAACAGTAAAGCAATTTCATTAGTTTTTTCCTATGGATTAAGAAAGCCCTTTAAAATTGAAATGCAAAAATGCATTAAAGTCATTACGCTCAGATATTTTAAAAAACAAACTCACTGAAGAAAACATAAGTGCTTCATACAACCGAGACTCCTTTGCATCTGTTATTACAGCAAGTCCATCAGAGAAGCATGCAATTTTGACCTGAAGTTTTACTTAAACTTTCAGATGACTTTTTCAACTCTGACCTTGCATTCTAATTAGTTGTTCAAGTATCAGCCACAGAGAATGAAGTTCCCTCACGTAGCCATGCCATTTTTATGGAAGGGCTACAAATTTGTGCACAGCAGATGAAGGCAGCCCATCAAAAGGGGGGGCACTGCTGCATGTTTACTCTGTATAGTCCATTTCCTTTTCATGACACAAGTCTTTAAAATTCCTCTTATAAAGCAGACCTCCACTTTTAATCTCATCTACTCTTTTTATCTTGAACTTCAATGACATCTACCTTAGAAACTAGTACTTCTGAACTTAGAATTTTAGTTTATACTACCAGCTGAGATGAATCAATGTCATTGTAAGTGAAAGGAGTTCAGCAATAATTTCACACTATCTTTTCATCTTTATACCACAAGCCATTAATGCACTGAATAAACAATTTAATCTTGGCTGAAAACTAATGAACTATGATTTTAAAGGTGACCTGCAAACATACAGTACAAAATTTCAATAACTAACAGGATGGTTAAAATTCACTGAACAGCAAGGAATTATTCAGTATACATATAAAAACACTCCCTCGCACATCTGTAGCCTTACAGATGGAAGCAGGGGGCAGGATTTCTGTTAAAAGAGGGAACAAAACCCCTGTACCCTTTACATGTTGCTCCTCACTTGCGAACTTGGGGAGCTCACATGAGCTCATGAAAGTAAGAGTTTGGAGTAAGTTCACGCACAGTCACCAGGAAGCACTTATTCATGAATAGGGTAAAACATCGTCCTGGGAAATATAGGAACTGCTGTAAGGAAGCACTAATGAAAGAAGTCTGGTTTTAATATATTAATTATGTCTGTTTGCTTCATATTGCAAACATTAAATAACTAAAATATCAAACAAAGATAAGTTCTTCGTCAAATGTTTTTTTAAAAAGTAATCTCTGCTAAAAATACAAAGGAAAGTCAATTAAATTTGGGGGTTCTGTTTGGATTTTGGGGGGGTTAGGAATTTAGAACACGGTGTTTGTGAAAACTGCAAAAGCTGTTGCCATTAATGCAGCAACTAAAAATGAAGCTTTTATTTAACTCATCCTAAGGCTTTCTAGAACACAAAAATTCAGAGGCAAGTTTTCTTTCTACCTTCTCCCGAGCTCAATGCACAGTTTAATCTCATTTTAAACATACTGGATCATTACTTTTTAAATGAAAATAAAATCTGGATTCACAATACACTGCCTTTTTTCTATATCACTCTGAAAAGCAGTGTAACAGTAATGTTATCTTTACATATTTTAGATCTCTATTCAATTCCCATTAATGAATACGTAAAACTGCGTGATTTGCAGCTCTATGCATTTTATAATGAAAGCCTAAAAACTGTATATAATCTAAATTCATGACATCCTTCCTATAGGAACAAATATCCCTGAATAATGTAAGAACTGTCTATAAAAATCACTCAAATTGAACTTTTGTACAGACAATTCTTCTCCTAATTCAGAAAAAAATAATACACTGCAGACAAATTGTTGTGTAAATTTAGAATATTATCTTCCACCATTCATCAATTAATGGTACTAACAAAGGAATATCTTAAAATGAATGTGTCTTATTAATGCCTTGTAACAGCAACCCCTTCAGATAGGTCAAATGAAAAATTGCCAACCAGCTGGTTAATTTATTCAGCACAGGTGTTCACTATTTATTTTTCAGCCATTTGCCTTTTTTCAATACAGCTTGTTGTAGACACAGTATTCTTTCCCTTTGATGGATGCACTTTGTTCTAAGGCCATTCATTTCAGATTTGCACTGTGTATATTATACTGCTACCCAGCTGTTTATTCTTTCAAAATAAATGTTTAATGGTTACTTCATAGGAGTTATAAAAGTTAAGCAAAAACAACAGAATCCAGCCAGAACATGTAAATTGTCAGAAACACAATAATTGACTCTCTCAGAAAGTTTCAAGTTATTTTAGAAAACTTTTTCTTTGCTAAGTTTATTAATCTTTACCATTCTTCCCTGTGGGTTTTTTGGTGACAATCAAGAGAGACTGCATTGTACTGCCAGGCTAAGTCAAACGCTTAAAAGTAGAATCTTCTATTTTGTCCTACTCAAGCATAATGCTCACTTTGTAGAAGTGTAAAGTCTTAGTACTCAGAGACTCAGTTTCGAGCAGGCCAGTCAATATCACATTGCACGAAAATCATACGTGAAGTTAAGAGACTGTCAAACCTTTAATCTGATTTAATACCAGTTCTGAAGAATATTTATTATGTCAACTGGATTACAATTCAAATATTCAAGTGATAGTGCTTTAAAACAAGCGTAACATTTTATCTGCAGTACAGCCATTACTGTACAATATAGAACTTTGGAATATTCTGAATCTCTGACCTTCAACTGTACAATTCACACTTTTTTTTTCCCTACCTGAGATGCTTACAGAAAGAAACACATGTTTCCATATGAGTATCTGTCAGAGTTTCATTCAGCTACGTATGATATTATCATAAGGGATTCAAGGTTAAACTTAACTATCCCTAAGAACCTTTCAGGAATTCAGAACAGTATTCAGCTCAGTGCAAAATCCAAAAAGATAAAAATAATAAATAAATACAAAGGAGTATTTCAGTTTTTAAGTGAGGCCCACGCAATTTCCATTCACTGTTACCATGCTTACGCACTATTCAACATTACTGCTTCACAAGGTTACTTTTAGATATTCCTTGATTTTCAATAATATGACGTTGTAAAAAGCTTACCTTCTGCATGGCTTACATAAAAAGAGTATCATACTTCCATTACTTATTTCATTTTACATGTACTTATGAGTTTAACTTTTTCCTATGAGAATAGCAGCTTTTAGCCAAATTATGAATGGAAAAATTTAATAGATGCCAATGCATAACTACCTACTACTACTAAAACCTACAAACACAACACTTCTGTTTTCTACTCGGAAGTATATTACCAACTCACAAACTTGGCCAACAAATTATATTCCATCCACACAAGGTCATTTGAGAAGGATCAGTTAGCTTCAATGAAGTACAAGTGATTTCAACAAAAGGACAAGGACATTAAGAATATTTTAGAGCTCATGGTTACTTTTTGAAACAACATGCAATATGGTAGTGTGGTGAAATGCTTGAAGCCAAAAGCACAATATGATTATTTGCCTCCGGGCATGTAAAATCATTTGTATATTTCTATATTTATACTTACTCGCCAAAGCAGAAATCTTCTACATGTTGAATAGTTTTATCCTTCTTGCTAAGAGAAATAACTTCTTCATTCTCAAGGATCAGTTTTCTCCAGTCTTCACATTCATCACAGATATCTGTCTTTTGCTTACAAAGAACAATTATAAAAATTATATTTTGTACTGTTCTAGCTGCTCTTGAACTGTAACCCTCTATAGTCCCAAAAAATTTGTTGTACCATCTTATATAAAAAAAGAAAGAATCCTCTTACTGTCTTAAAATTTTTCTATTCAGATTTTTTGAGTTAAAATAGTTACAGCTGGTTACTTTATCACAGCGTACCAATATTTGCACTACATTACTAGCTCTAGTAATCTGAAAATACAGTGTTAAATGAAATACAAGTTTTAGTAGATAGTTGAATATAATTTTGAATACAATCCACTAAAAGACAGGTTTGCCACAGTCAGGTTAGTTCCAAATTTTGTGACAAAACTCTGAGTGGAGACCACATGAAAAAATAGAGTGATTTGGGTATTAATCTGTCCACACAGGAATCTCTAAATCATATAACAGAACCCTGAGAATATTAAGTTCTGACACTGAGCAACTCCACTGATTACGCCAGAAGGTAGCATTATGTAATAAACAGCCATGAGACCGAACTGAAAAAGTTCCATCTTCTATGGACCAACAAGCTCACAATGCTCCAGTAAATAATACGAACATCCATTTGCTCAATCTCCTAAATAAATATCCTCTTCTAGTGGACTGACATGAATTAGATAAACTTTGGTCATTGAAAAATACACTATCAACATTAATCTTTTTGTCCTAGCTGCAGGACATTTCAATGGAAGGATCCAATAACTACCTTTCTCACAGTTAAGAAGAATCAGCTCAAAGCACACAAGAAAAACAAAAGGGACTGAAACATCAGAGAGTGGAAAATAATCAAACAGGAAATGGAAAAGACCAGATTATCATTTACAGAAGGTGCAGGGCAAGGAAACTAAGCAATAGTGCAGTTGCTTCTACATAAATTCAAGAACTGAAAAAGTATGACAGATGACTAGATTCTTTGGTCTCAGATAATAATATTAAACCAGGTATATCAGAATCTTAGAATGCTAGGCCAGATGGTTAAGTCTTAACCAGCAAAGTTGGAAACCAGAAGCCTCTTTGATCTGTCAAATTACCACAAAGAAAGAGCACTGTGATAATTTGTCTTGTAATAAATTATGTAAACAACCAAGATTTAATGTTAAAGAACATTGAAAGAAATCATCTGGAAAAATTTTTACCTGATTTTCTTTAATCCAGGACAACAATCCTGAAAAACTAAAGCTGGCCCAGTTTCCACCATAGTAATTTCTCCTGCAAATAAAAAACAACAATGAAACTTGATGGACAGATAAAACATAGCTTTTTCAGCTTTAAAGAAAAAACAACCACGTTTGAGACATTCAAAACATTTTCCATGACAGACTTTACAGATGCAGAATATAAAAATTGGTATAATATTTCATGACTTAAGGAGATGCAAAATTTCCATTGTCACTTACTTGTAACCTGTATTAAACAGACTACGGTCCAAAATCAAATTATTTGGCGGGTAAAATGAATGATGCTGACAAAAGCACATGGGATGCTATAAGTAAAAGGAAAAATATATGTAAGACTGACTCTACACCTCTAACACAAACATATACATTGCTACAGACATCTTTACTTAGCCTGGAGCCAAGCCAACAAATCTGACAGTTTCAACTGAGTTCTCAGAAAAGCCAGTTCAGGTTCTGGCAGGACACAATAGCTGTGTCACACGAGCACAGCTATACTGCTTCTGACTGATTCTGCTTTAGAAGGAAACATCATTGCATTGCATGCCACTTCTAAACTAACAGTGTTTCCAGAGGTGGGTAGGCAAAGGAGGGTTACGGAAACTCAAACTGGGTCCAGACAGTAGAAACCACATCTCTCTTACCTTACTATGTCAAATAAAGAAAATTCACTCTGTTATTTATCTACTGCTTACAGAGCAGATTATGCTTATTATAGACTGTTAAAATGCTCTGGCAAAATTCTTATTAAACTGCATATACTGTAGGTGGAGCCAAAGGAACTGATTTGTACAAAATGATCATACCTCCCCGAGTACTTCTCAGTTTATATTTACCATCTTCTTTCTTGCAAGACATTAGTTTACTTCTTTAAAATCACAAAAAAATAATACTTCTGCTGTTAATCAATGAAAGTTGCTGCTCTCCCTTTTTAAAAATTTTCTATTCATATTTCTCTAAACATCAGTTGTATTAATTAGCTTTTGTTATCATGTAGACCATATCTTAAATACTTAACAACTCTGATAGGAAAAATAACAATTAGATTTAAAAAAAAAAAAAATCACTAGTTCATTCAAAATAAAGAAGTCATTTCAGGATTTAACTCTGTTTTCTGGCACTTCAGAAGGATGAAAGATACCAAAAATACCCTGCTGAATGGATATCTAATCTCACTGCATACACTTCACCCTCCCACCCCCCCCAAAAAAAACCCCAAATCCCCACATTTAAGCAGGAAGATGGGGTTTGTATTTTACAGATTAACGTGAAGACTGTTAAATCAAATGAACTTAAAATCTTATCATAACCTCCTCTACTTTCAAATTATAGAGATACGTGTGATAAAAGTGAAAAATTAAATTCAGGTTTGATTCTACCATTTAAGATGGGATGTTTTTGACAAGCCTTATCTGCACTGACAAAGACTTCATTTCGAGTGGCAGCCCCTTTACAGCACCAAAGGGTGATGCTCTACACTATGTTGCTTACTTAGCATTGGGAAGGCAGATGCCTGCTAAACAATGCCTAACAAACAATGCCTAACAAATTGACCTAAAAAAGTCTTTCAGCTACTGCAAGGCAACAGTGAAGAACATAAATAGGTCATCTTCTGCAAAGACAAGAAAACTCAGCATTCACTCAACAAAGGTGGCTTCAACAACCCAACACGGTATTCGAGGCCATGAACTGGGAGGACTGGGTTTATACTTTACGAGAATACACGTAGTCTCTCCTGCAATTTGGTAGCTCTAAGCAGAAGAGCTCCATCCGCAGATCTGTTACCAATCACCTGTACACAAGAGTTCATACTTAGCTCATTATGTGAGTGACATGGGGCAGGCTCAACAAGTACTGCTATTTGGTATCATACAGAATACAACACAATGAGGATTTACATTAAATGCCTGATTCGGTCAGGTTTCAATCTGTAAAATAGTAACTGATAGTTGCAAGCAATGATAACCTCCAGCTTTGTTTTAGCTGTCAATGGTGCAGGTTAATTTCTTGCTTCTTCTTAAGATTCCACTGAATAAAAAGTTCAATATTCATAAATTATCCACCACTTCTGGGATTTACAAAAAAACCACAGCCATGAAGATTTATTTTTAAGGGAATCTGCTGCTTTAGTCCAAGTTTCCTTGAATACGAAATACAATCTGGCTGTCAGAGCAAGCAAGGCAATTGATCACAGAAACCACAGAAAACACCTGCCTAAAATTAGGTGGGTTTCCTGAATCTATATCAATATAAATTAATGCATATTTAGAATATTTAAAATGAAAACTTACAAGAGAAATCAACGTTATTTTCACAGAAAGTTACAAAAGTTTATTTGTGGGCTGTCAGATATCTTTGATGTGAACATTCTTCCGTTCATCAGGTGGATTTTCCTTTGAAATTGCTTTTCTTTTTAACCACCATTGATGTGAATCAGTCTTTTTAAGAAAGCACTCTATAATGCCGTTCTGAAGCTCAATCAGTTTTGAGACAACAGTATGGCCTTTCTCAAATGGAAAATGAATCGCAGGTGTCCTTCCCTTCCTCTGGCGCCTGAGCACTTTTCTGAAGTTATGCTGTACCACCTCAAATATTAATCTTCTCTTGAAGCATCAACTTCCAGATTTTTTTTTCCCCCCAGAATTTTAATAAGTTTACCCTGCATTACATGATGAGTCAGGATTGCTTAATTTTCTCATCTGAAAAAACTACAGAAAGGCAGTAGACCGGACATGATTACTGATATAATGAGCAAAGTTCTTAGTAAAAATCTTGAAGAGGAATTCTGAAAAGAGCTGACTAATGGTTTTACAATTAGGGGTCCTTTGTAACCAAATATTTTTGTTGTAATTGCCCTGAAGATGACCTGAGGAATTCCTTAAAGTAATGGTCAAGATCAAAGCCTAATTAAAGCTAAAATATCATCCCAAAATCTCAAGGACTAAGCTCCTCTCTTCTCTTGCTATATTAGCAAACTACAAAGATGGATATTCTCTCCCTTTTTCAGGGTTATAATTCAATTATCCTTTAAGTAAGAACATGAAACGTTTCAAAGATGTTTAACAGCAGTCAGAAATTAATTTTTGTACCAATTTTGATAGAGCACAGGCATTTTTTTTCTACCATAGTTTCCTAGATGATATTTGCTGAAAATTTCTCCTGTATTACCTGGATTTTCATATGAATTGAAATACTGCTGGTTTTAGTGCACATTTTTCAAACCTTGAACCTGTAGTTCAGAGCTAATGGCAAAACTCCTGAAGCCATTTTTGCAAGGTTTTGGGAATGCAGCCCAAGTACAGTTTTACCTCTGCAAAAAAGCTTAATTCTCTCTTCTCCTACATTAGTTTCTGATTTTTTTCTCAGTTAATAACACCATTTTTTTCTTCAAATACTTTGAAAGAATTAGCACATCCCAGTCCAGAACACTGAAATTGCAAATTGTTTCCAACTAATTAACATTCTTGGAATCCAAACCAAGAGAATATCTAACGTGTCCTTTTGAAGACAAGACTGCAATTTGAAAGCATGAGATACACAAGTAAGACATAAATAAGAACAGAAAAAGTATTTCATGGACTATGCCTGTTAAGAAGATTGCCCTCCTCAGTGCCATGTCGTAACAGATATGGTGTAACAGTCAAAGCTGGTGATGTCTGAAGAAAAGCTGCTGATGCCTCACAATTGCTCCGAAGAGCTGCCTCTATGTGTCTGTCCTGCATTTGATCTTTCAGAAAGAAGTCTCGAACCATCAGAGTTGCTGTCTTTTGCAAAGGAAATTACTGCCACGTCGATTTTAAGGATCTGAACACAAAATGACTTATGTTTCAAACCCATAAAGTTTAATGTGCTACCTATTAAGTACACAGTCACATGTATTAACAATTCCCATTCTGGCGTAGCAATCGTGTTTTGGAGCATGAAAAGTGGACTAAGCTTCCTTGCCTTCCAAGAGGAAGGGTT